ACCAAGTTATCCCGCGTCTATCACGTTACCCGGTAATCAACCCCTCTATCTCAACCGGCATTTACCCAAGTAATTCCTGCCTCTAAACTTTCCATTGACAGGATATCCCTTTCACGGTGATTTCAGTCCTATATACATCCAGGCAGAAGCTGGCAGCGCCGAGGCCGCGGGCGTAGAGAAATATGTCTGTGGGAACGTCGGGGAGACTTGACAATGGGAGAAACTGAGACAATAGTGGGCCACAATGGTGGGCCACAATGGGGGGCCACAATGGGGGGCCACAATGGTGTGCCACAAGCTGTGGGGGGGGGGAAGTGCTTGTAAGGTGGCTGGAGTTCAGTGTGTCGTCTGTGTGGTAACGTCCCACCGACCACGGCGCCACACTACGACTAGGTGCGCGTGCACAACAGGTACTGCACACAACACCCTACACATCCCCAGTGTGAGCGCACACAATCTCCGCTGCTCCATAACTAAACTCCGCGGCTAATGTTTAACTAATCAACAAATAAAAAAAAACTGGGTCAAAATATTATAAGGGGTGGGAAACAGGCTTTAGGAAATAATAGCGCCTCTGTGTTGAATCAAAATGTACTCTGCAGCTTCCTGCCTAAAAGTGAACCCCATTTTAAGTCTATTCTAAGTCCATTCATTGTACTCATAGCCCGGCCTCATGATAAGCCACTTCGCCTACATATTCAGACAATATAATGAGTCTTCCCCCCCCCCCACAAATGAGTATGACCCGAAACCAAACCGGTCCCATTTTTTCCGCGCGAGTCTAGTGTGGGCGAGCCCTTGTACCCCAACTGGGCAGGCGGGCACCGCAGACATGAATACCATCTTACAAGTCCGTACCTGGAGGCGGACCCACAGGCTCTTACCTATGGGGGTACTCGTCCATGGCTCCTGCTGGGAACCAGTACCCCTGGGGGACCTGTCACGCAGGCTGGGGGGCGAGGTAGGGGAGACGAGGTGGGGGAAGGGGGAGGAATGGCAGACGAGACGCTATCTTCCTCTCTCGGCTACTCTCCCTATCTTTATCTCCCCTTTCTCTCTCGCACCTACTCCCCGTTCCCTTGCACCTGGGCAGGAGAGATATCAATACCATCGTACGTACTCTTGGTTTTATGAATGTAATTTCGTTTTGTAGACATTATTCATCAACTCCCCCCCCCCCCTCTCTCTCTCTCAGAGAGAGAGAGAGAGAGAGAGAGAGAGAGAGAGAGAGAGAGAGAGAGAGAGAGAGAGAGAGAGAGAAAGAGAGAGAGAGAGAAAGAGAGAGAGTATAATAATATAGTGTGGTACAAGACACAATGCACCCGCACCTTGGAGCACGCATGAGAGGGCGTCTTGAGCACAGTAGGGTAGATGGCGAGGTGCTGAGGTCTTGGGTTGCTGCTCTTCCGGTAGTGGGGGCGGCCGCGCCCTCCTGCCAGCTGCTCTCCTCTCTCCAACACACCACCACCGGCTTTTCCTGTGGCTGTTGAATTGCCCTGATGGTGTAGGCGAGCTGCTGGGTCTACGCCCGGGGTTGTCCCAGTGGGCGCTTGGGTCTTGGGTCTCCCTAATCTTACTGTTCGGTGCTGGATGCCAAGCTCAGTTAATTCTAACACCGAGGACCCCATTGATAGTGCAGGTGTTGTGGAGCCATCACGTTGTCGGGCGCTGGCATTCGACGTTGAGGCTACTGCTGCATGGTGCTGTTCGGGGCGGTGGCCGGATAAGGCCGGTGCTGCCGCCCTGTGTTGCTGGGTGCTGAGTAAGGCCGTGGCGAGGTGTTGGCGGGAGGCGACGCGCGTCCCTACTAGGTGAGCTGGGAAGGCCCGCGGTATTTGGGACCTCCGGGCAGGTGAGTCTGCGGCCACACTCATCTCACCTCATCGCCCTCTACCGTAACTCCACCACCACCACACTTTCCAGGCTCCGAGCACTAATCACTGCTCCCATTTAGAGTCAGGACCGTCACAGAATCCCGGCTGGTGAATACATGGACTGACTTCAGGGAAACTGTGCGACCACACTCCAGGTTCACTGGCAAGGAACTTAGGCTTGCAAACCCGCGACACAAGGCGTCCGTAGCGCTTGAGTTCTTGTACACATTCACGTGGCTTTATCTCCGCTCTTTATCAACACTATTTCCTGTCATCTTACTGATTAATCACTTGGTTGCGTAGGCCTACTGAGGCACCGTAGACTCACTGATTTCGTTTGTCTCATTATCTCGGGCACTCGCTTGACCTGATATGGTAATTACTAACCATAAACGCACTCGGAAACTCTCATATACATGCATACAAAAAACCATTTAGCAATCACAAAATAAAGAGCAGGTCCTTGCACAGGAGGAACTGTGCGTGTCCTCCACACGCGAGGCCCACGACAGAGGGTGTGCAGCACACGCCCAAACCTGAGCGCCCGCCTCGTGTGGCCGCTGGCGGGAAAAGTCACCCAGCAGAATTCCCACCTGGAAAGTACCAACCAGTGGCTCGTATAAGAGAAGGAACCCGGGGTCCGTTTTCTTCCAGATGACTAACTGATACCGTTTGGCGAGGGAGGATGAGAAAATGTAAAGATTGGAGGCAAAAAGTATGTAGAGAGTGAAGTAATGAGGCCTTGGGTGGGTGATGGTGGTACTTACCTAACAGTGACCACGGGGTAGTGAGGCTTAGCTCCTGATGTTGACCAGACCACACACTAGAAGTTGAAGGGACGACGACGTTTCGGTCCGTCCTGGACCATTCTATAGTCGATTGTGTTGCACCATTCTCAAGTCGTCCTGGACCATTCTATAGTCGATTGTGTTGCACCATTCTCAAGTCGTCCTGGACCATTCTATAGTCGATTGTGTTGCACCATTCTCAAGTCGTCCTGGACCATTCTCAAATCGCAATCGACTTGAGAATGGTCCAGGACGGACCGAAACGTCGTCGTCCCTTCACCTTCTAGTGTGTGGTCTGGTCAACTTCTTAGACTCATTTGCGTTTTCAGCTTTGACGACCCATTTTGTTACACTTTCTCTCCATTTAAAGCCCAACCACTTGGGCTGGACGGTAGAGCGACGGTCTCTCTTAATGCAGGTCGGTGTTCAATCCCCGACCGTCCAAGTGGTTGGGCACCATTCCTTTCCCCGTCCCATCCCAAATCCTTATCCTGGCCCCTTCCAAGTGCTATATAGTCGGAATGGCTTGGTGCTTCCTCCTCATAGCTCCCTCCCTCCCTCTCCATTTAAAGAGGTTGTCCTTATCCACTTTGTATATACCCCTTCAGTATCTTGTATATTGTGACTATATCCCTACTGTTTCGTGGCTCTAGAGTTGTGTTGGCGCATCATATGACAAGTTTTCAAAGCTCAATACCCGAGATGTAACTTGAAAACCTATCGAGTTATTACCCATTGTATCAAACGCTTAAGTCATCGTCTGTGTGAACCAATCAGCAGCCTTCAATAGTAAATTACCCATTGTCTCTAATAATTGTTTGGCAGGAACTGAGGCAAGAGACGCACTGGTGAGAGAACAGATCAAAATATAGAGAATTACTGAAGATAAGGAGATGGGGAGGGGGGGGGGGTTACCAGCGTCTTAAATATGGGAGTTCATTGTGTGCCGAGTACTTGTCTTGTGAGAGTCACAGTGACTTACTAACATACACCTCCACGTTCATACGTAACTATGTACACACCATAACCACACACAAACACTACCATGATATACAAACACAGAATTCCAGGGATACAAAATGAGCCCAGAAGCATCCCAGAGAGGTAAGGTGAGCCCAGCAGCATCCCAGAGATACAAGGTGAGCCCAGCAGCATCCCAGAGATACAAGGTGAGCCCAGCATCACCCCAGAGATACAAGGTGAGCCCAGCATCACCCCAGAGATACAAGGTGAGCCCAGCATCACCCCAGAGATGCGTGGTGAGCCCAGCATCACCCCAGAGATGCGTGGTGAGCCCAGCATCACAGAGGAACAAGATGAGCCCATCACCATCCCAAGGGACCTCCGCAACAAACCCAGTGGCAGTGCTGGGGTTTCTGTAGCACTTAACCGACCAAAAAAATATAGAAGTTGCAGAGTATTGCTATAGCTTTCTAAATTCCTGGGTTGAGGCAGATGGTGTCGCAGGTGGTGCGGTGAGTCAAGGTAGGTCCTTGTCTACCCCTTGTACCCCCAGCCCCACCACCCCCTTGTCCACCTGCCGTCGCTAAAACAGTCACTCAGTTCTCCCCCCCCCCTTTTACGGGTTATTCATGCCCGTGCCTCCTATTGGGTGGCTTAATCTTCAATCAATCAATCCCCCGCCGCCATTTCACTCCTCGCCGCCACAACCTTCCTATCACCCTATTTTAATTAACCAAACGTAAATGAACATTAACCAACTGGTGAATAAAGTCTTCCTGTTTAGTAATTGTTTGTAAATGCTTTGCATGGTGTAAGTGGCTTTTTTTGTAAACAGAGGTGGACAGTTAAGGAGTGGTGCCCAGTCAGTCAGTGAAGTATCATCTTAAGGTACCAACATTTCTATTAAACCCTCTTGCCACTTTCAATTCGCAAGAGGTTTAGCTGACATATTCCCCGTGGCAATTGATAACAAATAAAAATACTAATAGACGTGATATAATATTGAGGCTGTACCATGGGATCGAACCCGCGTACCTGCCCTCCACACTGCATCAATAATAAAACAAAATAGTAACAAATATAATTATTACAATTCAGATATTTCGGAACATACGACATTTTCAGTGAATCTACCTCGCTGGTCTATACATAAGATCTTGGCCAACGCGCACCGGTGGAGCCACCAACGCGCACCGGTGGAGCCACCAACGCGCACCGGTGGAGCCACCAACGCGCACCGGTGGAGCCACCAATAGCAATTGTACGTGTTAGCTGAGCCAGCCTCTGCGGCAGGATCGACAGGAAACACGTCCTAGCGTGACCTGCTGGCGGTGCTCCCTGGCTCACACACAACACAAGACACCCGTGCACCTACCTTGTCCTCGTGTTGGCGGAGTTTGGAGGCCTGAGCGCTGACCTGTCGCTCCAGCAGACCAATGGTGCGCTCCCTGGCACGGAGCTCGTCCAACTGCAGAAGTTAACATTCTTTAGTCTTTCTCACACACAGGTAATACACCATCTTGTGTGATCATAAACAAACATTACCGCTTTATTCTGTGATGTTTAGTCTCACCAACGTAATCAACCATCTTGTTGATTACGTGTGGTACACCTGATCTCCACTGGAGACAGTGATACACCTGACCACTGACCTCCACCAGAGACAGTGATACACCTGACCACTGACCTCCACCAGAGACAGTGATACACCTGACCACTGACCTCCACCAGAGACAGTGATACACCTGACCACTGACCTCCACCAGAGACAGTGATACACCTGACCATTGACCTCCACCAGAGACAGTGATACACCTGACCACTGACCTCCACCAGAGACAGTGATACACCTGACCACTGACCACCAGAGACAGTGATACACCTGACCACTGACCTCCACCAGAGACAGTGATACACCTGACCACTGACCTCCACCAGAGACAGTGATACACCTGACCACTGACCTCCACCAGAGACAGTGATACACCTGACCATTGACCTCCACCAGAGACAGTGATACACCTGACCACTGACCTCCACCAGAGACAGTGATACACCTGACCATTGACCTCCACCAGAGACAGTGATACACCTGACCACTGACCTCCACCAGAGACAGTGATACACCTGACCATTGACCTCCACCGGAGACAGTGATACACCTGACCACTAGAGACACTCACCAAGCGCGCGCCTTCAGACTTGTTGGCTCTGTGGATCTTGGCGACGGCGGCTTCATGTTCCTCGTGGAGCCGTCGCAGTTCACTCGCCCGCTGGCGCTCGCTCTCCTGGAGGGTCTGGCGGAGGCAAGGTCACAAGTTTAGTTCCTTGGTCAGATTATAAGCCTCTGCTCTACGTATCAAGTATAAATAATGTTTACCGTTCTGCGTGTTAGAGACTCCAACATACAGGGGCTTCAATGAACCATTAATTAATTAGCTTAATAAAAAACGGTCAGTTATATACATAATTTTAATAACTTTTTAAAAATATTAATGAAACCTTAAGCAACAAAAATATGCAGACCAGTAATTTTCTAGCTAAGTTACCCCAAATAGATTTAAAGAAAATGGCAGTAATATTTAAACCAAAGAAAATGAAGAATCGTTTTTCTTTTTGTAGGATTAACTATTAAATTTTTCTTGGTCATTTAAATAATTCTGTTGAAGACACGAGGACTGTATACAGGGATTTATAAGGGAGCAAAGAGGGCAATTATTGCCCTGGGCCTCCCTGCCAGTGTCCCACCCCAAACGTCTTTTATAAAAAAATGTAATAATTATAAAAATTAGTTTTATTATTACAAAATTAACAAAAAGTGTGGGGGGGGGGGAGTCAGAAACTAGAAATACAGGTCGCTCAGCAAATTAGCACTGATAACAAATTATCTGAGAACCACGATGCCCCATGAAAGACTAAGTGCCTACAGGATGTCGAGAGAAGTGTACTCAAGGCGATACACACGGATGAGTTGCTAAAGATGTTAAGTGTAGAAAGAAAGATATTGTAGTGTCTTGCATGCCTGCATAATCTTTTTTTCTGCTTACGTCTAAGACGCCTCGACCTTGAGGACGCACCCCAAATTTTGACTTCAAAATGAGCCGGACGGTAGAGCGACGGTCTCGCATCATGCAGGTCGACGTTCAATCCCCGACCTTCCAAGTGGTTGGGCACCATTCCTTCTCCCCGTCCCATCCCAAATCCTTATCCTGACCCCATCCCAGTGCTATATAGTCGTGATGGCTTGGTGCTTTGACCTGAGAGTTCTCATTCCCTTTCTTTCAGAAAATTAAAAAATTACAAAGACTTGAACGAGATTCCTTGGGGCCCGGAAACGTCTATAGAAAACGTAACCTTTGGTCTCTACGACGCATGGTAAACTATTTCATATATATTTCAAGCAACACTGGCATCTTTGATGCCGGGAAATACGACAATCGTGATGTATGATTTGCCAATTCCAATTACCTGCGTAATGTGTAAATCTGGTGATTTGTTGCAGGGTGGAAAGATTAGATGCAAGAGGTTGACTTATCCCAGTCTAGTTCTTTCGATCCTGTTTCTGACCTGCTCTCCTCTACTGTTATGCACTTTTACCGAAAGTGCATAACAGTTTATACCGAGTTTGTGATTACTCGGTATAATCACAAAATACAGTGTGATTAGTTTTACGCTTGTACTCACCTAATTGTGCTTGCGGGGGGTTGAGCTTTGTCTCTTTGGTCCCGCCTCTCTCAATAAAAAAAACTGTCAATCAACTGGTGTACAGATTCCTGAGCCTATTGGGCTTTATCATATCTACATTTGAAACTGTGTATGGAGTCAGCCTCCACCACATCACTGCCTAATGTATTCCATTTATTAACTACTCTGACACTGAAAAAATTCTTTCTAACGTCTCTGTGCTTCATCTGGGTACTAAGTTTCCACCTGTGTCCCCTTGTTCGTGTTCTACCCGTGATAAAGAGTTTGTCTTTGTCCACCCTGTTAATTCCCCTGAGAAGTTTGTAGGTGGTTATCATGTCTCCCCTTACTCATCTGTTTTCCAGGGATGTGAGGTTCAGCTCCCTTAGCCTTTCCTCGTAGCTCATACCTCTCAATTCCGGGACGAGCCTGGTGGCATACTGCTGAATGTTCTCTTAACTTTGTCTTGTGTTTAACTAGGTATGGACTCCAGGCTGGAGCTGCATATTCCAGGATTGGTCTGACATAAGTGGTATACAGGGTCCTGAACGATTCCTGACACATGTTTCTATAGACAGTTCTTATGTTGGCCAGTCTAGCATGTGCGTTGCTGATCATGAGTGGAAACAGCAACAATAAGCCAAACAGGCTTCCTGTCCCCGACTACGACAAACCAAACTATACGGTCAACAACAACTTCAAATTTGAATTTAAGTACCCACAGCAGTTGCCAAAACTGTGGCGGAATATTATCAAATAGTGACGTCACGCCTTGAATAAATCATACACATATATAACAATATTTGAATATATTATTTTGGTTAGGAGAGGTTACGTTGCGTACTTAAAATAGCGATGACGCTGAGTGAGGAACACACTCGTCTCAGACACTATTCATTCAACGGAACAAGATGGCGCTCGCCGCCTTCAGACAGCGCGCGCCATCTGTTGCCACCGCGGGCAACTTGGCGCCCCACCCTGCATGGGTGCCCAGATGGGCGGGTGCCCACACTGACGCCACCCGCTATATCTGGCTCTTGTGGCACTAACTAGGAATCCACCAACATCGTGCCCAGTTTAATTAGATCATTATCAACCATATACCCATCCTGAGGGGGTAGAGGAAAGCTGGGTATGCTAGAAATACTTTACGTATTAGTTGGTTATATTTAATACGCATTTTCTGTACTCTATCTTATAAATAAAATGGGTATAAAGAATTCAGTTATACTAAATTTTAGAAAGTAAGGTGAGTGAGGGGAGAGGAGGGGAAGGTGGGTGGAGGGGACAGTGGGTGGAATAGACTGCCAGGCAGCAAGGCGCGGCAGACTGCAGACATATATATATATATATTATACCTCGTCTCCCTTAACCCTTTGCCTGCTGTTCATCCACCTTCACTTGCAATATACATCTCCACCTCTCCCTGCCCTCACACACACACACACACCTCCCTACCTCCCTTTACAATGGCTGCTGCTATTTTTAATGACACGCTGGAGTAGGACGATTGAGGACTGCTGCTTCAGCCTGTCGGGCCCGGTATACCCACCAGTAATTACAGACCTGGAGGTAAAACGTTTGGTGAATCATGTTCTGAGGCAAACATGACTGCCAAGGACTCGACCCCAACCTTCAATTACAAAGAAAAACAAATATTCCCATTCAAAATATCTCTGGGACTAGCCAACGGAGATCGAGTGAGAGCGTGGGATCCACCTCCAACTGGTGGCTCCATGCACCTCTACTTCATGACCTCACGGCACACCAAGAGGACTAACGCTATACCAAGGGGTAGTTGAAACTTAACTATACACTGACGGCTGGCCATCTCACAAAATAAAATAGGGGTTTACGGCCAGTATGCCAAAAAACGTACTGGCCGATACGAGGCAATTTTCTTCAACTGCCAACTAAGACAGCTCTCTCTAGTCTTTGTCCTCCTAACTTTGATGTAATTAAACATTACCGTGTTATTTGACGGGTTTCCATATTTCTATGGTCTACTACTCATAAACCTAGTGTTCCTCTTCGTCCTATCATTTCTTTAAGAGATAGAGAGAGAGAGACTGATAGAGATAGAGAGAGAAAGAGAGAGAGAGAATAAAAACTGCGAATTCCTGTAGTATTTTGTAATAGAAAATATGTTCACATGTGTGTGTGTGTGTGTGTGTGTGTGTGTGTGTGTGTGTGTGTGTGTGTGTGTGTGTGTGTGTGTACATTTCTGTATTATAACTTAGATATAACCAGAAGTCAATATTTTCATGAAGTAAACAGTAAAATTCCATATTATTTTGCCCAGGAAGTGTCAGTTTGACCAAGTTTCAAGTGGATCAGAGTGTAGCTACTTGTCGCTTAAGCGAGGCAGTGTGTAGCCAGCTTTAGCCACGCACTTGAGACAGATTGGACACCATTCCCAGCAGCGGTCTTGAACACTGGCTGGTGCTGGTAAGTGTATATTTGAGTCCATCATCCAAGGCAAGAGCTGTGAGGTTCACCACACTAGTCCAATACTGACTACAAATACTCTACATCAGTCAGTGTTTGGACCTGTAGTTCCCCCAAGCCAATGTTCGAGGCTATGACTAGAAGCGTGCCTCCTTCTTCACCTTCTAGTGTAAACACACCCTCAACTACGGGCTCACCATTGCCCGTGCTACTTGGAACTTTTTGTTCTAGGTAGCGAATCTTTAGCAACAACAACTCCCTAAATACACGTAATCAAAATACCTTACCTAACTTAATCTAGACCTAACTATACATAAACCCCCGATATAAGATACTAATTTACATTTCAGAAAATGTTGTTATACCACATGAAAGATGTATCCTGTCAGTTAGTGGCTGTCTGCTGAACAAGTCAAAAACTTAGAACAAAAAAATCCCGATATTTGATTTATAGCTTGGACTGCAGGATGGGTTGGGATATTTTATCCTACGAGTATTTACAATCCTTTTACACATTACCTTTTTACTTCCAGGATGGTTATTGTTTCTACTTCCTCGCTATCGTAGTTCCCCTTCAGTCTCACCACCCCTACTCTGTTTCGTCCTCGCCCCCCCCCCCCAACCTTTATCCTCACCTCCACACTCTTCATGTCTCACCTACGATCCCCTTCAGACTCGCTTCTCCCCTCACAGTGAGGATGGGACCAGACAAGGGGGGTAGAAATAGCCTAAGCTACTCTATCCCTTTGAAATGTATTTCTTGCTTATCTCAATAAACATACTTGAACTTGAATTGGGACCAGACTCAATATCACCGTGGCTGCTGAAGAAGACTGCAGAGGTGCTGTCGCCCACTAACCAATGCTTTCAACAAAACACCCAAAACAGGAAATCTTCCAGAATTCTGGAAAAAGGCAAATGTAGTCCCTATATATTCAAGAAGGGGAGACAGGCAGGAGGCACTTCGCCCGTTGTCTCTGGTAGGTAAGCACTGTCTCACCCCCTTCCCACTCCCCCCATAGTCTCCTCTCTGTCCCCCCTACCCTCACATATTTCTTATCCTTTACAAGAAGTCAACACAACACGCCAAGGAAAGGCATCTCTACCCCCAAGAAAAGGAGACAAGATTGTTGACTTTAAAGTGTGGCATTTCATGCTACCCGCCGCCACATACCACACGGTCGAGTGCTCACTACCCCCATTGTACCATGCTACCCGCCGCCACATACCACACGGTCGAGTGCTCACTACTCTCATTGTACCATGCTACCCGCCGCCACATACCACACGGTCGAGTGCTCACTACTCTCATTGTACCATGCTACCCGCCGCCACATACCACACGGTCGAGTGCTCACTACCCACATTGTACCATGCTACCCGCCGCCACATACCACACGGTCGAGTGCTCACTACCCCCATTGTACCATGCTGCCCGCCGCCACATACCACATGGTCGAGTGCTCACTACCCCCATTGTACCATATGTAGAACACGCCTCCAACCCTCTTCATGGAGGACACGTCAGAAAAAATATGTATGCTGAGGACCATACAAGTGACAGGATGAACAACCCAGCGGGTTTTCTTCCTATTGGGGAGTGTTGTACATGCTGCTATGGCGGTGTGTCCACTCACAAGATGAGTGGCGCTGCCCAATACTGTCACTATGGCGGTGTGTCCACTCACAGGATGAGTGGCGCTGCCCAATACTGTCACTATGGCGGTGTGTCCACTCACAAGATGAGTGGCGCTGCCCAATACTGTCACTATGGCGGTGTGTCCACTCACAAGATGAGTGGCGCTGCCCAATACTGTCACTATGGCGGTGTGTCCACTCACAAGATGAGTGGCGCTGCCCAATACTGTCACTATGGCGGTGTGTCCACTCACAGGATGAGTGGCGCTGCCCAATACTGTCACTATGGCGGTGTGTCCACTCACAAGATGAGTGGCGCTGCCCAATACTGTCACTATGGCGGTGTGTCCACTCACAAGATGAGTGGCGCTGCCCAATACTGTCACTATGGCGGTGTGCCCACTCACAGGATGAGTGGCGCTGCCCAATACTGTCACTATGGCGGTGTGTCCACTCACAGGATGAGTGACGCTGCCCAATACTGTCACTATGGCGGTGTGTCCACTCACAAGATGAGTGGCGCTGCCCAATACTGTCACTATGGCGGTGTGTCCACTCACAAGATGAGTGGCGCTGCCCAATACTGTCACTATGGCGGTGTGTCCACTCACAGGATGAGTGGCGCTGCCCAATACTGTCACTATGGCGGTGTGTCCACTCACAGGATGAGTGGCGCTGCCCAATACTGTCACTATGGCGGTGTGTCCACTCACAGGATGAGTGGCGCTGCCCAATACTGTCACTATGGCGGTGTGTCCACTCACAGGATGAGTGGCGCTGCCCAATAAACTCGCCCCTCGAGGCAAAATTTAAAATTTAAATCTGTGATAGAAAATAAGGTCAACATTTTCATGACATTATTTTCCACGTACGCCACGTACCTTAGAGGTACGTGGCTTACAAAACCACGTACCACTTGATAGATAGCTAACCCCCCACCCTGCCACATACTCCTAAGATAGATAGCTACCCACCGCCACATGCCCCCTACATGAACAGCAAGAGGGTGAGTGTCTGGGCTGGCAGAGGTAGAGGGGAGATTGCTAGGCTCTTTTCGGTAAAGAAAATAGAGATGTACAAGTAAAGGAATAAGTTTGGAAATGGGAAGTAGTTCCAGTGTCAGCAAGGCGGACAGCCTTTGTGTTGTGACATGTCCGCCTTGCTGACACCATGTGTGTGTGTGTGTGTGTGTGTGTGTGTGTGTGTGTGTGTGTGTGTGTGTGTGTGTGTGTTGGCAGCTAAGTTAAGCTTGCCTTTTGCCAGGGACTTGTGAAGAACCTCACACACACTCACGTGTATTTGCCCAGCCAACACCCCGTGAATTACGTGGCTTTAGCTCGGCCAGCGTAAGGCTTCCTTGAGCAACAGTAACTCCACTACCTCCCAAATGACGCACCGTCAACTGCCCATCCCCCCCCTACCCCCCCCCTACCCCCCCCCCCCCCCACACACACACTCAACCATCCCTTTATTTTATTTATTTATCTGTGAAAGAGTTCATCACACACAGAGATCACAATAATGTGATGCATCAAATGAACAAATTAGACGTAGAACCGAAGTAGAACTTCGGTTTCAACCCTTTTAACCCTGTCGTAGCTCAGTCGATCAAGGCAGTGTCTAGGATGCTCCCGGACGCAGGTTCGAATCCTCGTCACGGCCCTTGTGGATTTGTTCATCTGTATAAGAGTTCTTACATTCTTGTACGGCCACTAGTCCGCACAGCGTTTCGGACAGGTCCTTACTCCTAATGTTCCCCGGAATACGACCCGCCTAATCGTTTAACAACCAGGTACCCGTTTTACTGTTGGGTAAACAGAGGCTACAGTTAAGGAATGGCGCCCAGTAAATCCTCCCCGGCCAGGATACGAACCCAGGCCAAAGCGCTCGCGAAACGCCAGGCGAGTATCTTACCACTACGCCACGGGGACTGCAACTACCCCTCCCCCCTACAGTAGGAATTCGAGTAGTGTGATCTGACCAAACTTTCGGGCAGCACTACCCGTGACTTGGCCTACGGTGACCTGCGTCTCAACGACTTCTTGAGATCCTGCAGGCCTCTACAACCGTCTCATCGGGGCCAGTCCCCTCTACGTTACCTGCGGCCACCTACCTCATCTGTTCACCTCCCTCATCTCCCCCAACCTTCCTCGCTCCCCTCCTCCTTGAGGAAGAGGGGAGTGGCGGGCCTACACGCCGTGCTGGCCGCCTGCCACATGCGCACCTCCACCTTTAGACTGTCTGATTACCCCCTTCCGTCCTCACACTTCCGACCACCTCTAATACCGCTCCCAGCCCCTTCCCTCAGGCCTCCCCATCACCACCCCTTCCCTGAGGCCACCCCATCACCCCTTCCCAGGCGCCACCCCATCACCACCCCTTCCCAGGCGCCACCCCATCACCACCCCTTCCCTGAGGCCACCCCATCACCCCTTCCCTGAGGCCACCCCATCACCCCTTCCCTGAGGCCTCCCCATCACCACCCCTTCCCTGAGGCCTCCCCATCACCACCCCTTCCCTGAGGCCTCCCCATCACCACCCCTTCCCTGAGGCCTCCCCATCACCACCCCTTCCCTGAGGCCACCCCATCACCCCTTCCCTGAGGCCACCCCATCACCCCTTCCCTGAGGCCACCCCATCACCCCTTCCCAGGCGCCACCCCATCACCACCCCTTCCCAGACGCCTCCCCCCTTTTCCTGGTCCCCACCGCCATTACATATTCTACGTGAATGAAGCCCCGGTAAGTGTGGCCAACATATTTTTAAAGCCGCCATCTTAAGCCAACTCGTCCCCTCGACAAATAGGTCGCGTTTTATGCATGATAACCAACGTTACAAATGCATAACGACTCACAAATATTTACGTTTTCTAAGCAACAGACGATAAGTTAGGAGGGTTGCTTGGGTTCATATATCAGAGAGATAGTGATTAGCGTTACTACCCCTCTCGCTCCTGTTAATAATGGGACTATGTATCCAAGTACACATCTTTGACACAACTCACACATTCACCTACACACTCATCCCCTCACACAGGAGGCGGTTCATAACAGGTTTAGCTGTGGCTTTACGAGGTGTGGACCAGTCCCGTCACGCGCCCCTGGCCGGCCGTAAGTCACGGCTGCCTTGTCATCAGTGTGACGACCTTATGGTAAATATAAGGATGTTATCGCCGTTAGATCAGCGCTGTGTGTAGCCAGGCAGGGCCCTAGCAGGTGTTATCACTAATTAAAGTAGTTATCAGTATACACAGTTCTGCACAATACCAGCCAACTCCTACCGCAGCCAAGTTATTACAGCAACAATATCCCCCCCCCCCATTACAAAGCGTAAGTTCTCAAACTCATTTATCACCTTCAAGTGTTTCTGTAAGACGCATGCAAGACGACTGACGTCACGGGCACTTACCAGAACGGCTTCCTCCAGTCGCTTCTTGTGTTCGCGCAGCGTCGACAAGTCTCGGTTGAGCCGGTCCAGGTCCCGGTCAGTAGCGTGGCACCATGGCACTGGTGTGGGCTCGCACCTGCAGGCACAGTTGAGGACATGTGTTACCAGGGATGTGATGCTACCAGCCCGCTTCCTCATAGGGTTGTTGTGAAATGTGAGCATAGCGTATATGTGAGCCTAGCATGTGTGTGTGTGTGTGTGTGTGTGTGTGTGTGTGTGTGTGTGTGTGTGTGTGTGTGTGTGAGAGCCTAGCATATGTGTGTGTGTGTGTGTGTGAGCCTAGCATATGCGTGTGTGTGTGTGTGTGTGTGTGAGCCTAGCATATGTGTGTGTGTGTGTGTAACCTAGCGTATGTGTGTGTGTGTGTGTGTGTGTGTGAGCCTAGCATATGTGTGTATGTGTGTGTGAGCCTACCATATGTGTGTGTGTGTGTGTGTGAGCCTAGCATATGTGTGTGAGCCTAGCATGTGTGTGTGTGTGTGTGTGTGTGTGTGTGTGTGTGTGTGTGTGTGTGTGTGTGTGTGTGTGTGTGAGCCCAGCAAATATGTGCGTGTGAGCCTAGCAAATATGTGCGTATGAGCTTAGTGCACGTGTGTGTGTGTGAGATTGGTAGAGGAGACGTGGCCTAAACTCTGGCACTGCCAGGAATTCAACACAGGACCAAGCGGTTGTGAGCAAATTGCACTAATTACTGCACTACCGGGACTTGCCCTGACCCTCCCCCCCCCTCCCTACTACTACTACTACTGCTTGTACCCCATCCCTTACTATTACTACTGTTTCTACTCCATCCTATTACTTTACTAGTGCTACCTCTGTTACTCCTTTCTACTGCTACTTCGACAACTGCTACTTCGACCACTACTACTACCACCACCACTACTACAACCCGTTCTCGCAAATTTAATAAGTCGATATTGACTTATTAAATATGTGCATAGGTGACATACTTAACATAATAGATACCCTTAAAAAGATTCATAGAAAACACCGACCTTACCTAACCTTGTTAGTATCTTAAGATAAGCATCTTATTGCTTCGTAATTACAATTATTACCTAACCTATAACCACTACAACCACCACTACAACCCTTCCTTCACCACCCACCTGGAAGCCTCCCTCCGTATCTCAGCCTTGAGCCTCTCCTGGGTAAGTCTAGCTTCATGCAACTGGCGGCGGTGGTCCTCGTCCCTCTCGCGGACTGTCCGCATCATATCGGCCTCGTGAGTCCTCGTCAGAGCATCCTTCTGCTGGGCCAGGGCCTGGCGCCTCTCGTCCTCCAGTCTGGGGGAAGGAGGCGTAGTGGTGGTGGGAGATGTTGGAGAGACGGTCCGCCGATCTCCACGGGGCCTCTCTCTCTCTCTCTCTCATATATCTGTATCTACTGGCCTATAGTTCTCACCCCGGGTTATAAAGCTCACACTAGCCTATAGTTCTCACTCCTGGAATATAGTTCTTACCCCAGCCTTCCCCTCTAGATCCTCCCAGGGGGTTACTCACCTGTTTTTGAGATCTAGGAGTCGTAGCTCTGTCCTCCTCAGTTCGCCCTCTCTCAGGTGTCTGAGATTGAGGTCGTGGGTGCGTCTGAGGGCCTTCCTGGCCATCGTCTCCTCCTCCAGCCTCGCGCGTGCTTCACACACTTCGCTCTGAAGCCTGAAACACACACACAATTATATAATGTTATACTACAAATATACTCATTTTATGAGCTACATTACAAATATATAGATATGCGGGAGCATATTTGGCGCCTTACAATGTGAGCCACACTCTGGGATAGTGGCCAGGAATAGGCGATAGCTACTCAGTGGTTCTACACGTGGATTATATTAGGAATTCTGCTCAGGAATTCTTCTCGGGGATTCTGCTCAGGGATGCATAATGCTGAAGCTAACTTGATGAGGTTTTATAGTTCAAATGAAACCAACTAACCTAAATATAATAAAATGATAAATACGGTGGCACTGACGCGTGGCATAAATGATGACACATACCAAATGTGGCACTGATGAATGGTTAAGGTGGCACTCAAGACCCAGGCCTGACCTGGTGACCTCCACGTCAAGTATGGCGCCCAGACACGCATGACCTAGGACACTATTAATATTACACACACAGGATACACCACAAGGTTAGTAGGCGAGACATGACAACTAAACCTTCATTGACCGAATCACTCTTAGGTAAGTATTGATTGATCAGGACAAGGATTCTCTTACGAAACCTGTACATCTTTCCTCAATTATGGTGGCTTATTCTATTTATTAAACAGTTTGAGCTCCGAAGCAGTAAGAAGTTGTTTATAACAATAATAACCCTAAACTGTTGTTTTAAAGTTTCAAATCTCGTAAAATTTAATAAATGTTAACAAAGCCGCTATGATTTAGGGAAGATGTAAAGGTTTCGTAAGTGGTTACGTAAATGTTTGATGAAGCCTGGAGATGCTCCAGCAAAACTGATAAACATCAACTAACCTTTCCTTCTCGACGTTGAGTCTGTTACACTCTGCTTGCAGACGTTCCATCTCCGAGTCATACTTCTTGGTGAAGGTGCCCTCTCGTCTGAAGGTGGGTAGGGACACCCCTCCCCATACTGGGCTCCTCTTGGGCTCCTGCCACGGGAGCACCTTCGTGGGATCACGGCTGCGTCTCGCCGGCGACCGGGTCTCCTTCGGCGTCGGGTGCTTCTCCCAGCTCACGGACTTCGCTGTCTTTGTGTCAATCTTGGTGTTATTGGCATTTGTTGGTTTCTCCTGTTGGGTTGGGGAGTCCCTGGGTGTCGAGGTCTCACGAGGAGACTTCATGGTGGGGTTTAATGATTTTCTGGGCACCTCCTGGGTTTTGGTGGCTGTTCTCCAAGCATTCACAAAAGTTCTCTTTGCATTATTTTTCAAAGTAGTTATGGTAGAATTTTGATCTTGAACCTTTTTACCACGATCTATTGCTCTCGTCTGCTTGATCATTTTGGGAGAAAGTTTAGCTGCAAGCGAACTAGCATCTTTACAAGTATTTTGTTCTAAACGTCGAGTAAGTTTTCGAGAATTTTTCGGAGATGATAATTCTGGTGTCGTTAAATCAACGAAGAATTGGAGGGGTTCTACAAGACTATCCCTGGAAGGACGCCTGGAGCAGGGCGTGGTATCTGCACCAGCAGCGTCGCAGGATGGCTTCGTTATCTTGGGCGGAGGAGGGCCGTCGAGGGTGAAGGTCCCTTCGCGCTTCACTGTCACCTGGGAGGACGTGGCACTACACTTGTCTGACGAGGTTACGACCAAGAGCTCTTCGCACGACGATGACGAATTATCCAGAGAATCGTCGGCTTTACTGAACTCGCTTATTTCCAGCTCTTGCTCCTCAGACAAGGGCGCCACCTGGCGAGGAACTCCTAAATCGTATTCATATTCACTCAGTAATTTTTGATAATTTAGATGTGTATTGTTTATTTTCAATCTGTAATTGTTCATGTTGCTGTTCTCAGGTATTGCTGTATCTAATTGTTCCTCTGAGGTATATATACGTCGCTCATCACCTGAATGTGTAATATCTTCTTCATTAATAACCGCAGGACGCGGCACTGCTGGCACTCCGGCCTCAGCTCTGACGTCACAGCTGGCACCGTCAGACGAGTCAGGTGTCATTAACCTAGAGGAAGGCTGCCTCAGACACGCCAGCTCGTCTGAGACTCTGGCAGCTGGAGACACTGGCGTGTCACCACCAGCAGAGGTGATCGTGCTGTCTGTCAGGTTGCTGACCTCAGCACTAAGAGTCACGTCACCTTCCTGCTGACTCTGGGTGTCGGGGGACGATGGGTTCACATCCTCGACTTCCTGTATACATGTTCCTTCTGGTGCTCTACTGTTATTTTTCTCATTTTCCTTGTCTTCATCTTTTTTATCTTCCGTCTGCGTTTCGATGCTCGCCTTCCTTTTCTTCGAACTCTTTCTCATGAGTTTCTTGATGGTGGCGGAGACAAGATTGTTCTCTGCGGGGGCGTCTTCCCTCGGGCGTGAGTCTACGTCCTGAGGCTCAAAGACGCGGGTGGACACTATGACGCCGTCGTCACCATCGTGGGGCGAGAACTTCACTCTCTTCTTCTTCCTCTCGAGGGTCTCTGAGTAGGACTTCTCCCGCTTCAGCTTCGGCATCCTCATGAAGGAGAGAGACCTCTTCTTTTCTGCGTGTGGCGTACTGCTCTCCTCCTGATTCTTGTGGGTTTCCTCCTGCACACCTTGACTTGATATCATCATCGTCGTCGTCGTCGTGGTCGTGGTCGACTCTCCAGGGGCACGACACTGCGCACCATCGTCGGACTTGGGGAGGGTCATAGTCGTGTGGGGGTCGTCGTCGTTGTCCGAGACTGTGGCAGAGATCGTGGCTTCGACAGTAACATTATCGCACGTCGCCATGACTGAAACAAACACAAAATCAAATGTAAACATCTGCGAATTACTTAAAACTACCCAAAAACAAGTGAAAGATTAAGAGGCTCAACTAACCAACGTTCAGAGCTTGACGATAGTAACAATGCAAACTGCACACTTTAATGAGTGAAACATTCTCGGATCTTATCATTCGCGTGTGGACATTCAAGTACTGTATTTCAGCAAATTGTGTGCGCGCGCAACGAAACTTGCAGACTAGACTGAGCGAATAGCTCGCTGGACGCGTGATCCTGTGGTCCCAGGTTCGATTCCGGGCGCCGGCGAGAAACAATGGGCAGAGTTTCTTTCATCCTAATTAGGGAGAGCGGTCGAGAGAGGGGTCGAGAGAGAGGTCGAGAGAGGGGGGTCGAGAGAGGTGCCACTGTTGAGGAATGCGGATCCCGTCACTTGCTGCAGTACACGTTACGAGGATGGATGGACCACTCACCACTTTGGAGCTGGACACGGAGTCGAGCTCTTACATACGGTACCTCAGTGTCCCAGATGCTTGTAAGCTCTCTGAAAATCTCGCAAGTGACACCCAACATATTACCATTTGTCTTACCAATAACAACATTGAACCAATACAGGTTTTGCCACGAGTAGTATAGAGTATGGGTTTTCACCGTACACCACGCGTATAAAAACCTACATGTAAAAATGACAAGTACTGTAGTGTAAAACAAAACATTAAGAAGAGCAGAAAAACACCGTCCATCGTATGACCAAACAATTCAGGAACTCCATGAAGCCGTGAACATATAACCACTAAACATCAGACTACAACAGCAAGCCACCAGGGTGTAGAACACCTTCGAGATGTTAGAAAGATTACTCCAAGATGAGACGCCCTGCTCCCACAGCTGGTAGCCTAAGAGCCTCGATCTACAGTACATAATTCCAAACATGAAATACATGTCAGCACCACCCCCCCATCCCGCAATGAAAAACATCAAATTCTGTACACAAGCATCCCAGTGTATGTGTATGATGCATATTTATGTATAAACATCCATATTATATAGAAGAAAATATTAGTGTTTAGTGAGAATCCACAAGGTCTTCTCTGAATACTTCTTATTTTCTTCCCCGAGGCTATGGGTCCCCCACACTTGCACCAGAAGTGGTACCCTCACAACTTATATATTATATATTGAAATACATGAGACAGACCTTGTATACACACTCCCAGCTCTCTGCCAAGAGAAAACAAGCTTAGCTTAAGAAAAGTAATCTAAATTACATAAGTGGAATTTTGGTCCACTTTAGCCTGAGAGAGAGAGAGAGAGAGAGAGAGAGAGAGAGAGAGAGAGAGAGAGAGAGAGAGAGAGAGAGAGAGAGAGAGAGAGAGAGAGAGAGAGAGAGAGAGAGAGAGAGAGAGAGAGAGAGAGAGAGAGAGAGAGAGAGAGAGAGAGAGAGAGAGAGAGAGAGAGAGAGACAGACAGACCGAGACTGAGACTAACTTCAAGGCCAGACAGACACCTGCATGGTTTATAGGGACTCAAGTTTCGTTAAGCTCCAAATGCCTAAGTCGTCACTGTTGCCAGACGCAAGTCAGTAACCTACTGCAGGCTCATGTCGCCTTGTTTACGTTTCCCAATGTCAATATTTATATCATTTCACGCAGAATTTTTGCATGTTCAGTTGTTGCACAAAGTGTGGAAACATCTTTCGGATTTTGCACGTACATAAATACACAAGTATATCGGTACGGTCCATATGTATGCTTATAGGGACATATATGTATAGCACTCATACAAAATTATTAATTGTTCCCATGTAGCTATAGAAGAACATTATTGTCTTATGATCTTGAGTACCGAGAGGAGGGAAGCCTTGATGTCTTCATCATCACGCAGACGATAAGTCACAATATGACTTATATTGTGACCTCAGCCATCATATCTTCATAGCTGAAGATATGATGACTTGGTCTTACCTCACATATTGGCCTGCACCTTCCTCTCTTCTGTTACACCGATAATGATCCTGGACGGAGCGAAACGTCGTTGTTTCGTCACTCCCTGATGTGTGGTTTGGTCATCACCACTGTGTACCGACTGACTGACTGACTGTCTGTCCCTCAGAGCAACAACAATACACGCGGTATAAAGATATATATATGTTTTGTTTACATTGGTCTTGCACGAGCAGACGACTTCTGACTATCGGAAGGAAGCTCATGGTTAAGCATTATCCTTCTAGTTCACAACCCGCCAATCGGTTAACAGCCGGGTACCCAATTACTACTGGGTGAACAGGGGCAAGCAGTTAAGGATTGGCGCCCAGTCATTCTTCCCTGGCCATAATTCGAGCCCGGACCAAATTATTCGCGTGGCGTGTGCTACCCCTACGCCACCAGGTACAAGTAACTAGCCGACAATTCTTGAAAGCGCTAGGAATTAGCGCTTTCAAGAATTGTGCATGTAGAAAGTGACTTGCGGAAGGTTCCATTGGAATTAGTTTTACCTGAATAATTTTGTTACTAACACTTGGATGAGTCAGTGAAGGAAACGGAGAGAGAGAAAGATCTTGTAGTTGATATCACACCAAACCTGTCTCCTGAAGCCCATATAAATAGAATAACATCGGCGGCATACGCAAGACTGGCTAACATCAGAAATGCCTTCAGGAACCTGTGTAAGGAATCATTCAGAATCTTGTATACCACATATGTAAGACCAATCCTGGAGTATGCGGCCCCAGCATGGAGCCCGTACCTTGTCAAGTACAAGACGAAGCTGGAAAAAGTTCAGAGGTATGCCACTAGGCTAGTCCCAGAACTAAGAGACATGAGTTATGAGGAAAGGCTGCGTGAAATGCACCTCACGTCGCTGGAAGACAGGAGAGCTTGGGGGGATATGATCACTACTCATAACATTCTCAGAGGAATTGATATAGTAGAGAAAGATAAACTGTTTAACACTGGTGGTACGCGAACAAGGCGACACAGGTGGAAACTGAGTACCCAAATAAGCCACAGGGACGTTAGAAATAACTTTCAGTGTCAGAGTAGTTAACAGATGGAATGCATTAGGCAGTGACATGGTGGAGGCTGACTCCATACACAGTTTCAAATGTAGATATGATAGAGCCCAGTAGGCTCAGGAATCTGTACACAAGTTGATTGACAGTTGAGAGGCGGGACCAAAGGGCCAGAGCTCAACCCCCGCCAGCACAACTAGGTGAGTACAGAGGGGACCTCGCAGCTGAGTGGACAGTGCTTGGGGGTCGTAGCCCTAATGGCCCGGGTTCGATTCCCGTCAGAGGCAGAAACAAATGGGCAGTTTCTTTTATCCTGATGCACCTGTTGACCTAGCAGTAAATAGGTACCTGAGAGTTAGACAGCTGCTACGGGCTGCTTCCTGGGAATGTGTGTGTTAGAGAGAAATATATGTAGTTGATATAACAGAGGAAAAGTAGATTGGTTAGTAAGGCGGGGTCCAAGGGATAATAGCACGATTCTGCAGACACAAATAGTAAATACATGCACACACTATCCCCTTTGTCTCTCATGCTTCCTCCAATAAATTTGTATTTTGAACTAGCAACAAATACACTCTTTATCCCCGTGGCGCAGTGGTAAGACACTCGCTCCATGTAAAGCCTCTTGCACATATAAATAACAACAATTCATACAATCTATCAAAGCTATATTACTTAAGAGGCAACATTTCGAGACAATCCACAATTTTTGTTGTTGAAGGAAAGTTTAGTCCTTTAAGCTTTATCTAAATATAGTCATTAAATATCTGCAAAGTGTCACCCCCCCTGAGAGCAAGTATTATTGGTGGAATTATGAGGAAAGCAGCCTCATATTACCGCCAATATTGTACCTGTCGCAATGATAGCCTCATGTCAGCCAACCTCACAATACCATTTGCTCTAATATTTTCACATTGCTTCTCAATAACAGTTCTCACAGTGACATCCTCACAGTACTACTCTGATAGTGTACTACTCACAATAACAGCCCCCATATTTATCCTCACAGTACTACTCTCATAGTCCCATCCACACAGTAAGAGCTCTTATAGTGCCATCTGGACAGTAACAGCTCCCACAGTGTCATCCTCACAGTAACAACCTTCATAGTGCCATCCTCATAGTGCCACACTCAGTTCCGTCTTGCCAATTTTGTGGTGGGATTGTGTCTTGGGAGTTACACTCTACTTGCTCTATATCCTGGCTCCACCACACTTGGAAGCCCCACTCTTCAAGGAACCCGTTCCCTCGATCTGCCACACTAAAAAAATACTATAGTTTTGCCTAACCAGGGCCACTCTCACTGGTAATCCAGGATGTGGTCGGTGAAGGTGTTCGCTTGGTTGTTAATGTCGCCCTGAAGCTAGTGGAGTCACACTAGGAAGGATGGATAGTTCCTAGTCTCCCACAGTCAGGTTGTGCTAGTTCACCAATTTCTTACAATAGGTTGTACTAGTTGTGTAGATTGCCTTCTCCCATAGCCTTATGTACAAGTTGTGCACTTCGTTTAGCTTGTGGTACAGCCAGGTTGTTGGAGTTGGTTCGTTCCCTGGTTCAGCTGGAATAGCAATTGAAGTGAGAGCAGCAGCCTTGTGGACTGATGGGCCGAGGGATTCGCATTGTGTGTGTGTGTATTTGTGTGAAAAAATAGTTAGTAACAGTTGATCGATTGACAGTTAAAAAGCGGGCCGAATACACACACACACACATTCTCTCTCTCTCTCTCTCTCTCTCTCTCTCTCGTCACGTCCGCCCGCCAACGGAGCTCCTTCAAATACTCAAGCCTCGCCCCATAACACCCACCCACTGTTAATCAACATTTGCACTCAACTGTCGTCTTGCAGCACGCAGTAACGCCATCTTGCCAACCCTTTTATTTTTGTTTACAATAAACCACATACATGTAAGCCGCATCTGTTGGGTGACTGCATATTTTGCTTCTAAATCTATTCGCGGACGCAAGGTATTGCGAGATTTCCCGCCATATTGGCGAATTTCTATT